GACGTGTGCTCTTCCGATCTCCCCAAAACCCCAAAACCCCAGGATGCTAGAATAAAATAATGGAAAAAATTTGGATGAATCTATAAATATAGAGAGACTAATAAGCCATTGTAAGTGTCTACTGCTTTTCAATTATAATTTAACAATCTCATTTTTTATGTGGGGATAAACCTTTCATAAGTAGGTTAGATGCCTTTTTATTAGCAAGGAGTTACTATTTCATATAAGCCACACTTGTCTGATTCATCACATTATAGTTATTAAGTGGTATGTTAGTGTTGTTGGTAACTGAGTTCAGTTTGGAATTCTGGGAAAATGTAGAGTTCTGCTGATACTATTTGTTCTTAGACTATTAAGTCGTAGAGACACTTGTCGATGTCTTAAAGTGCATATCAAGCAGACTTTGGTCAAATTTATTCATAACTGTAGCAGTAGCCGTGGTGTTTTACTGCATCTGCTATTTCTTGTTTCTCGATCTATGCTTTTCTTACGAATGAGAGCCAGTGTTATTCATTATGTTTGAAGATCTGTTTTGCAATGCATTTTGAAATTGCATATTCATTGTCTGCTACTGATTGAGTATAGGCCCAAGATTTTGGCTTAATTTGTTTTTATCATCTTAGTATTGCTGCTGTCCAAATCTATTAAGACCTTGCGAATTGATATTTCTTAAAGACGATTGAATGTTGCCTGAACCTGTGCTTGCATTTACTGGATTCTATTTAACAATCCGCCTTTTATTGTTGTTATTGTGAGGGTCATGAAAATCATAGAGTAAGTTTTAATTGTCTATGAAAGTGTTTTAAGTAGGCTTGACCAGTTGTGAGTAATTAGGATTCATGCTTTACATTCTATGATCAAAATGCAGCAAATCGTCTGAAATCTGAGACTACCTGTACTTACTGTCTATCTCAACATTTATCTTCTAAAGGCTATCATTTAATTGAATAACATCCTCAATACTACCTTTTTAATCCAAGATATTTCTATCTTTACTTTTTCTAATAGACTTTGACTTGCTATTTCTATTCTCAGGGACATCTGTAACAATAAAACAAAGGTTATTAATTACTTTAGGATTTGCATCTGCGATGAGAATTCAAGTTGGAAGAGCTACTGTCATCATTAAGCTCTGGATTATTTTTCTTAAGCAAGTTTTAGCTAGTGATAAAGTTATTTGCAAATTATTGTAGAGAGCCTTCATTATTATGTATAATCTAATTACTATAGTTTATTGATAACCCCGATATGTTGTTATTGATGATATTCGAGTAGTTATTATGACTTTATCCGATCCACTAGTTTTTAGTTGGATTAATCTTAGATGACTTAGAGTTTCTTCCTTATGATGAAAGCTTTCTCTGTCCCATCTTGCCTGAATTCTAAGTGCTGTTATATGTATTCGTGATTGCCCCTAACTATTAAGCTATGCCTAAAGATTCAACTAATGTTTATGGAACAATGAACTTCTGTTTGCTGCTTAAAGATCCACTTTACTGCTTTTTAGCTCCTTGCTTCTTATTGAATATCTGTTATGTCTAATGATAGGGATGACTGAGTAAATCATGCATCTTCTTTTCAGGAGTACCGTGGTCAATAAAAGAGTGATTAGAAGATTATGATCCAAGATCTTAATGCTTATGAGTAATAGACTTTTCCTTAATGCCAAAACTCATAGGTTTACCTCCATGAAGTGGCTAAGTTGAGTTAAGAATGAGCTATAACTATTGCTGATCAGCATTAACTAATTTCGGTTACATTTCCAGAATTTCTTGTTTCAATTTCTCAATTTGCCCAAGTAATTGAACTTCTTTCTCTCTAAGTTAATTGATTTATGCTTGACACTCATTGAAAGCTTCATCTTTCTAATGAATAATAGAGTCAAGCTTTTAAATTTTCTACTCTAAGCTTTGATTCTAAGCATTGTTCTGGCCTAGCTTAATATTTTCATGCTCAAGTTTGTCCTGTATATTTTCTAATTCTTCCACTCGGTTCTCCACACTTTCAATATGTAGCTTCAACTATTGCTCGATCTAAAGTTAGTTTAAAATTAAACTTTGATTATTTACTTACTCTGATGTGCTTTCTTATATCAGCTTCAAGATTTTAAATTAATTCTTCATATACCTTCGGAGGACCTTCCATATTAGACATGGAAGATCTCTAACTATAAGGATTGTTGTTATTATTGAAATCATTATCACTTCTCAGAGAATCTAAGTTTAGCTCAGTCTTGTTAATGTGATTATTGCTTTTCTAGTTATTTTTGCTATTTTTATGATGATCCAGCAGTTTTTTCCTATTTTATTCACTCTCTCTGTTAATTTACTCAGAAATTATTGATGATCTATTATCTTTAAAATTGTTAATCTCATTTTGATTGTTAGTCTTGTCTAGAAGTCTCTTCTCGATTTCCTCGAATTTGAGATTCAAAATTATATCAACTGAGGATTTGATGTACTCAATCACAATATATGGGTCAAGAGACATAATGATATCTCTTTCCTCCCTCTCCTCTTGCTCTGTGATAGTTTCATTCTATATAATATGATATTTCGTTTGATAAATCTTATGTTTAATATGAAATTGTAATCCGACTGAGGAACAAAATCTTTCAATCAACAGCTTGGTAATTCGCAAAAAATCTCCAGAAACTTACCTCATCTCTAGTTTTCTGTTTGATGCTTAAGTAGAGATCACCTACAGCTGATCTTAGATTTTTGTACTTTGATGTGCAGCTCTCGTTTCTATCACTTTATAAATCACTCTCCAGATACTCCGACTCATTAAGCTTCAACTTCTAATCTGAAAGTGGTAAGTTTAGAATTATATTAATGAAGAAATAAACAACACTAATTCACTACCTCAACTGAAATTCTAGTTAAAGTTCTGCTTAATAAAGCCAAATTGTATCCTACTTACCCTTTGCATCTTTTGACTTATCATATAAAATGGTATTTGAAAGCATAGATGATCTTTGGACCATTTCATCATCGTCGTAATTAAATACTTCAAATTTCTATCCGTCTATTATCGTTTTTTTATTGTCTGCACTCATTAAACTCTTCAATTATTATAATTTTAGACATACACTCCTAATTTCTCAATCCAATCTATCGGGGTTTTGGGGTTTTGGGG